GACGTAAAATCAAGGGACCAATGTAAAAAAAAAACGGTGTTCCCCTTTAAGTAAGATAAAAAGCACTTGGCAAAATGACATTTAAAGTACTGAGTAATTGTTGGGCCCTAACATCTAGTTTAATGTTTAAAATGTAATCAGGCAGAGAAATATAACATAAAATAAAAATACAAATAAATACAATCATTGCAAATTAACAAATTTGGACAGAAAAAGCACTCTCCAAAGATTTTTTTCAAAATATAAACTTATAAAAACTAATCTTTACAGTGAGTTATGGATTTATATTAGGAAAGAATAAATAAATTCCAGCGACAATTTCTACTGTTTTCTGCTCGATCTACAAATATGTCATTATACTTGTGGTGGTTTTACTCCAGTAAGTAAAAGCTAAATCTCACTGGAATATTACTGAAGTAAAGGTAAAAAGTACAGTAAAGTATAACTACTCCAGAAATTTTTTTTTTTTTTTAGGAGTAGCTGTACTTGGGTAAAAGTTAGTCAAATAAACCTAAAAGAGTAAATGTAACTAGTTACTAATACTAACCTGAGTCTATCATAGAATCCCAATAAAACTGAGTAGATTTTGTGGTTATATTGTGACACCATCAGAAGAAATGTTCTTACATTTGCGAGGTTTTGTCCAAATACATCCTAGCAAACACTTTTACCTGACTGACAGTGATGTGGATGATTGAACAAGTATTTAAAACAATTATTTGATGTCGTGCTGCACAAGCTATGGTCAAAATATTCACATAAAAAGTTTGAACGGTACAAAGACCATTTTTAATTGTTCTCTCACCTTCAGTCTACAATGCTCCAGCAGAGCTCTAACTGAAGGGATGAAAATTATTTAGCAGGACAGTTCGATGCTAACAAGAAAAATGTCTTATAAAGAGAAGAAACAGAATTATAGACTTTGTTTTTCTGCCAATTTAGATCCAGGCTTGTTCTGAGTCACAGCGCCTATTTATAGCAGTATACACCAAATTTCCTGTGTGGAGCTGGGAATCCAAAGCTACGCACCCCTGGCTGTTTTGGACCACAGTTAGCGCGGGGTTTTCTGATTGGATAACGAACACTTCCATCCGCCAACCAGCCTGCATCGCAGCGGTCCAATCCCTTTAGCTGCCATGCCGCATACAGCTGGCCCACTTTAGCCACCTGACCTCCATCTGTGGCACAAACCTGAGCTGCTTCTGTGAAGTTTAGCATCCCTGGGTAGCTTAAGTAGTAAACATCCCCTAAAACAGAGAAGAATGATCAGCAAACACAGATAAACTGAATGTTGAAACTGAAAGGAACTTGTACTGACCTTTAATAGCAGCTGAGAAGCAGAAAGCATCGTATCGATGCAAGAGGCGGTGTTTTTGTCCATAGCTGCGTAAACCAGGAGCTAAACTTCGCCCCCCACAGCCGTGCCGTGGGACAGTGATGGGATACTGCACCGTGCCATCGGCCAACCAACCAGCATTGCACCAGTCCAGCCCGTCCTCCCAGGCTGTGAGCAGCTGTTCTAATGTGGCCAGGGTGGCATCTTGATCCAGACATACCTGCCGGGCCCCAAAGAAGTTCAGATGGTAGCGTCCTTTTGGGGAGTTATAGGGAAATACAACTCCTGCAAGGAAAAGTATTTTACAACACAAATACATTAATAGCATTTAAAGCAGCCGGAATCGTTCACAAAGTATTTCACACTAATTTTAAGATTCATGTCATTTTATTACATTAATCAAATGTACTTATTTGGATAGGTTTAACACAAACCTGTTAAATAAACCTTACATGACATTTATTTTTATAATAAAGATGAATAAATCATCATTGGGTTGAAGCATAGAATAAATAAAGTATACAGACTCAAAATACTGGGGGTATTTATTTCTAATTCATACAGTTTGTTGTTTGAATTGTTGGAAGGTAAATCTGGTTATTATGCAATTCAAACAATAAACTTTATGACTAGAAATAATGCAATAAAGAGTATTCGTTATGTCTAAGGATACTTTATTTAAAAAATGCAAACTAAAATCATTGCAGCAGGCTCCTCTGGCAGGAACATGTCTTACAAGTCAATGACTGGATACAATCAGCTGGTTTTTATTATCAATCTGGCATTAATCTCTGTAATGCCTCAAACTCAATTGAATTGAAATTCTAAGCCACATTATTGAATATGCATCATGTAAGTTGTATCTAATAAGTTTGTGTAAAATCATTAAAAAAGTAGATGGGATAGTTTTATGTAATAAAATCAGATAAAGTGTAGCATCAAGTTATTATCTAAATACTGGGAGTAGAATTTATAAATTCCTTATGATATGAAACTTATTGAAGCTATAGTAAAAAAGACTATCCCTAAAGATGCTTTCAGCTTTGAAGTTTGTTTCCACCAAGGAGGTTATGTTTTGTAGGAGAGATTGTGTTTCTCTGTCTTTTTGTGTATATGATAACTTTAAATGTTAATAAATCTTAACTACATTCAGTTTTAAAAAGATACATTACATTTATTTATAGTATTATACCTCTTGTCGTTATAGTTTTTACATTAAGTCCAGTTAACACTAATCTTCTTTGGGGTTTCAGAGCTTAAACCAACAAACCTGGAGGATGCAGTAGTTTTTACATTTGATCACTGCTGCATTTAAGGACAGATTTTCATTAAATTTTTATCAGATGTGTCCCTCATGCCAAGGAACAAACCATTACATTGTGGTGATAATGAAGATCATAATCTAGATTTTTGTTTTTTTAAGAGTCTCTAACATTATAAGATGGGGATATTTGGGGGAACAAGCAGTTCCTGATTAAACCACAGGGTGGCAGCAGTGATTATTGTCAGTCTTAGCATTAGGGGACTCAAAAACACAAGAAAAGGGAACACTGTTGGTTAGTAAGGTCAATAAAACATTTATGAACTGATTTTATGCTAAGGAAAAATCCATTTAAATTTGGAAATGATCTCCGATCATGTGCGAGTTTTAGCTGCAGGTTTAATGGCTCATAGAATGATTCTATAGGGTATCTGGTGCTGGTCCTTAAGGTCTCTGAATAGGGTGTAACATTGGTTGGGCTGAAAATTGCCTATTTGCTGTTCTATGAGCCCTAATGCAAGCCTGGTTAGAAGCCCTAGAATGAAACGACAGGTTTTCTTCCTTTTATGGTATGGCCAGTGGTTACTATGGGTGAGCTGCAGAGATTGGCAGCTCAGGTGAGACAACATGCTTATAAATCATTTAGTTCAAATTTCTTATTTTTGTGATTATCTACTAATCTGTTGATCACAATGAAAAAGATCAAACTGCAGTTTGGCTGTGAAAGTTTAAGGATTATCCATACCTTCACAGAGCAAAGTCTAAGTCAAAACTCAAGTGTGTCTCACCCCTCATTTCCAGCTCCACCGTCACGCTCTCGTCCTCCAGGCCGTCAATCACCTCACAGCGGTACCGCCCGGTGTCGTTCAGCTGCAGCTCGTTAATCACCAGAGACATGTCCCCCGGAGCTGAGCGACGAAGACGCACGCGGCCTCTGAAGCTACCGTAGCTGCGGTGACGGTTGCCCATGGCGACCATAACTTCTGTTTCCAAGGGGAAGGCTTCGTTTGAGGTGATGGTGTTGGCGGGCAACCAGGACCATTTGACCCGGGTCCTGCGCGGTTCGGTCGGTTCAGGTTCGTAGCGGTAGTGACAAGGGAGGGTGACACTGCTCCCCCTGGTGGCTGACACCAAATGCTGGTGCGATTCCACATGAAGACGGATCCCGTTGAAATAAACTAAGGAAAGATGAAAATAACAGAAACATGTTTTTTTCCGGTCAGGAACAGCGATAGTTCTAGAATATATTTACATCATGGTTCAACATTCAGAGAAAAAAAAACAGCACATCATTCAGTGTATTAAATTAGCCACAAAGCAAAGGTTTAAGACTCCTGATCTAACAGATGAAAGCTGTGATCCTGTCTGAATACAACTGAAGCTAACACTGCAAAAAACTGAAAGTTCATTTTTCTTAAAATAAGAGCATTTCTTCTTGAATTTAGCAGTTAAATGATACACTTTGCCTATGGAATAAAGCAATTTACTAATTTTTTTGTTTGTTTTTATGGCACTAGAGGCCTTTTTTTTTCGACAGTAGGCTGACAGGAAAGGGGGTATTAGAGAGGGTGAGAGACCTGCGGGAAACTACCACAGGCCAGATTCGAACCCGGGTCGCCCGCATCCAGGACTAAGGCTACGTTCACGTGCAACGTGAAGCAAAAATGCGCATGCTGCTTCTTTTTTGATGCTTGTACAAGTTTAGTTCTGACGCCCTGCTTCCACTGCGCAGTGGAAAAGTGGGTCTGATGCGTTGGGTGGAGCTCCCCTATCCTTTATTTGCCTGGAACAATGGTAGCTATATTTGCTAGGGTCAGTGGGAATAAAGTAGTTTTAATAGGTTTTTAAGTGAGCAGGTCCAGCTGAAAACTTCATCTGTGCAGTCAGTTCATCAAGATTATGATCCTGCATTCAAATGTTATTTCTCTGTCGGAGCTGCTGTCACTAGGAATCCCATTCAACAGCAGCCTATGGCCCTGTCGCGTCCTCGCCAGGAAGGCGCTTTTCATTTACGTAATCCAAACTGTGGGCACCAGGATACTAAAAGTGACCATGTTTTGCTGGCAGATTTCAGCGTTTTAAGTTCATTTAGGCGTTAATAAACCGTTTCAGAGGAGGGATAATCTGCATCATCAGTGCTGTGTCTGTCTCCCTGCCAGCTCCCAGATCAGCTTCTCTGATTGGTTGATGTGGCATGTTGAGCAGCAAAAGTTCAATTTCTCCAACTCGAGTAGCTGTTGCGTTTGCGGCGCGTTGCGCGTGTCAGATGATCAAAAAGTTCACGACGCGCTGCTTCAGCTACTCAGACGCGCTGCGGGACGTTTTGCTGCACCTTGAAGCGTGTCAACCATTGACTTAGCATGTAAACTAGCTGCTCCTGCTGCCTTTGCTGCTTTTGGTGTGGACGTAGCATAAGGCCTCCGTAAATGGGTTGTGTGCGCTAACCACTGCGCCACCTGCACCCGACAATTTACATTTAGCTGCAGTCTCTTATTTCAAGTGCATAATACTTATCTCATTTTATACTTATTTTAAGAGTAAAAATGCTCATTCCATTGGCAGGTTATCTTATCTACCAGCTGAAATGAAGGGTAAATACATTTAATGACATTTTTACTCATTACTAATTTTTGCAGTGTAAAGCTGACTGCAATGTCAACATAATAGTTAAAATAAATTGTAAAGACAAAATATTATAATTGCTCTAAGGAACAGTATCAGCCTCTTGTCAGCACATATCATCATATTACACTTATTTAGTATTACAGTACACAAACAGATCTTAAAAAGTAATATTATCATAAAATAAGTGTATTTAGCCTCAATTTGATCAGATCTGCAAAAGGAGGGAGGATTTTTTGCTCTTAAAAAAATATATGTAAATCATGCATATAAAAGAAGTTAATGGAGTTTCAAGAAATATGTACTTAATTATAGAGCCAGGAGCAGGTCTATATGGGCATTGGCCCCCGTTGGCCCCTTTCTAGAACCACCCATGATGAGGAATGAATCTGCTTCATGAAAATCATCCAAATCCAGAAACATTTAACCAAATGAGGAGTTATTCTTGTTAGGAATCCAGTCTGTGTGGGTTGTGTTTTGGTGTTTTTC